CAGGTGCCATCTGTGGGCCGCCACTGTTGTCCTCTGCACACAGGGCTTTCTCATGCTTGTTTCTCGCTGTTGGGATGGGAGAACACGTGAGAGCCTGGCCCGGTCAGTGCAGGGCTGTTGTGGGCTCTGCTGTGGTCTAGCAAGCTCCCTGTCCTGCTGGGAGGGGGTGGGAGAGAGCTGGGGCCTTCTTTCAGAGCTCTTGGGGAAGAAGTCTGTGTGGGAAAAAGAGGTTGAGGTAAGGCTGATTGAAGAGTTTGGGGTTTTCTCTGAATTTGGATGATCTTTGCTGCTTAATTAGCTCCCTGAGGCCATGGAAAGCTGGAGGCGGCTCTGGGGAGGGGATTTGTCTTATCCGGGTCAGCTCCCTTTCTAAGGAGCTAAGGCCCTGCCAGGGATGCTGTCAGAAGCAGAAAGCCACTGTGTGTTTTTTTTGTTTGTTTTTTATAAATCTTGTTTTGCCCCTCCTCCCCCTTTTTATTGAAAGTGGTAACTTGTTTATGCAAAGTAATCTGAGTTTTGCGTTCAGTCTTTGTCACAGGTGAGCCAGAGCCTGGCTGTCCTGTCCCCTCCATGCTTCTCTGTAGGCCCTTGCTCCTTCCTTCCTCCTCTCCTGGTCTGTTTCTTTTTTAGTATTTTAAAAAAAAGTTTTTGATTTATTTGAATGGCAGAGACAGACAGACAGACACAGAGCTCTTCCATCTGCTGTTTTACTCCCTAAATGCCTGCACCAGATGGGGCTGGGCCAGGTCAACTCAGTCCAGGTTGCCCACGTGGGTGGCGGGAGCCAGCATCCTTGAGCCATCACCTGCTGCCTCCCAGGTGCGCGTTAGCAGGAACCTGGAGTTGGAAGTGGAGCTTGGCACTTGAACCCTGGTGCTCAGATGTGGGTGTCCCAAGTGGTGTCTCAGCCACTGCACCTTCTCTTCCATTTCCCTTGCCCACCCCACCACCACCCCAACCCATCTTCGGCCCTCTCTTCTTCCATGTACCCCTTCTTGTGTCTTGCCTTAGGGAATGCAACTTCTTTTAATATTAGCCTCAAGCAAACAGAATGAAGCTTCCTGGACATAGAGGGACACCTGGAGAGCTGCTGTGCACCTTGTCGCCCAGGCAGGCTGGTGCCAGGTCCACGTCGTCGGTGCCCGACATCCCTGTGTTGGTAGTGATGGGGACAGGGACAAGGACTGCGTCCCTTTTACTCACCACTCAGTGCAGTATTCTGTGTGTTGATAGAGTACACGAATGAGGTATTATGTGCAGACCTCTTAAGAGGACCACCAGATGCACAGTAGTTAAACTTCACAGTGTGTGCTCTTGAAAGAAAACCCAGGGGCCAGCGCCGCGGCTCACTAGGCTAATCCTCCACCTTGCGGCGCCGGCACACCGGGTTCTAGTCCTGATCGGGGCGCCGGATTCTGTCCCGGTTGCCCCTCTTCCAGGCCAGCTCTCTTCTGTGGCCCGGGAGTGCAGTGGAGGATGGCCCAAGTGCTTGGGCCCTGCACCCCATGGGAGACCAGGAGAAGCACCTGGCTCCTGGCTTTGGATCAGCGCGATGCGCTGGCCGCAGCGCACTGGCCGTGGCAGCCATTGGAGGGTGAACCAACGGCAAAAGGAAGACCTTTCTCTCTGTCTCTCTCTCTCACTGTCCACTCTGCCTATCAAAAAAAGAAAAGAAAAGAAAAGAAAACCCAGGAGGCTTGGAATAGTGATTATTTTGGGGGCAGAAAATAATCAGAGACGAACACATTTCTCTGTTTTTCTTAAGCCCCGGTTGTTAATTTTTACAGAAAGATTGGTTTCCCATCCGCGTGGTTGCAGTGGCGGAGCAGGAGTGGTTGTCACACCTCAGCGTCCCGTGGGCCTCTTCAGGGAGCCTCTCTGCTCAGGGCCTGGTGGTGGTCTGTGCTTCCTGCAGCACGCAGCCTGGCCCCTGGCTGCAGGGGCTTCTCCCAGCATCACCCCTCTGACAGTGAAGGATCAGAAAGAGACACAGGGCCTGGATGGGGGCTTCAGGAAGTGGAGACGGGCTATCATTGGACAGCCTTTGAGGGTTCTGCTGGGGTGGGTGTGGGGAGCCAGGAGCAGGGTAATCTCCCAGGCTGGAGAGGGGAATTGGAAAGAGGCAATGGCAATGGAAGTGAGAGGGTTGAGGGGACAACACAGGAAATGGGGGGTCAGGGGAGACTGTTAAATGCAGGGCTAGTCAGAGGGGCGGGACAGTCTGAACTGGAGGAGGAACACGTGGAGGGCCATGTAGGGGTGCAGGTGGAGAGGTGAAGGAGCCCCAGAGGACTTAGAAAGCCAGGCCCAGGGGCCGGCGCTGTGGTGCAGTAGGTTAATCCTCCACTTGCAGTGCCGGCATCCCATATGAGCACCAGTTCTAGCTCCTCTTCCAATCCTGCTCTCTGATTATGGCCTGAGAAAGCAGTAGATGGCCCAAGTGCTTAGCCCCCTGACCCACATGGGAGACCCGGAAGAAGCTCCTGGCTCCTGGCTTCAGGTTGGCTCAGCTCTGGCTGTTGTGGCCGTTTTGGAAGTGAACCAGCGGATGCCGTCTCTCCCTCTCACTGTCTGTAACTGAACCTCTCAAACAAATAAATGAAATCTTAAAAAAAGAAGAAAAGAAAAGAAAAAGCAAGCCAGGCCCAGAAACATGGAGTGTGCTCCAGGGCAAATGGGAGTCAGCAGGCTCTGCAGGGAGGGTCTGCTGGTTGCTGTGCAGACAGGTGGGAGAAGATGCCGGGGACTGGCTGCTGGGGACAGAGTGTAGGTGCCAGCAGAGGTCAGGGCTTGAGAACGGGTTGGGGCAGGGAGCGCCTCCTGGCCTGCCGGCTTGGGCAGCATGCTCTGGAGTTGGGTCCCCGGCTTCTCCTTGCCAGGCCTTCTCAGTAACCTGCAGGGCCCCCAGGACCTGCGGCCCCTGTGGAGAAGCCCCTTGGGCCATTCCTTGCCTCCTCTCCCACCCCCTGGATCTGCACAGCCTCCCAGGCTGCTGTTCCTGGGTGGGAGGGAGAAGCTGGAGCTGACAGCGGGCGAGGGAGGGAAGCTGCCGCATTATGTAAGTTTGACAAGAGGCAGCCTGCGTGCCGTGTGACTGGAAAGCAGATGGCAGGCACAGCTAAGGCGTGCACCTGGGGAGGAGGGTTCCCTGGTGCTGCCCCCATGGTAGCCATTCGTGCCCACCCTTCCTCGGGCTGGTGCTCGTCTGCATCATGTCGGGAGCTGGGGTCAGCACTGCGGTGTCGGTGGTAGGACGAGGTGACTTGCAGCAGGCTGGGCATCGCGCCGGGGCCAGGGCTGCATTCCGGCCCCCTGTCTCTTATTCTGAAACAAGGCCTAGCAGATCACATCTAAACAGACAACTGGGAACGTTTGGCGTGGTCAGGGGCTCAGGGCATTGAGGTTCAGCTTGGGGATGAGAGGCTGTGGTGCCTAGAGGCAGGTGGCTGCCATCCTTGCCAGGCCCAGCAGGTGTGTTGCAGGCCCCGCTCTTCCACCCTCAACACCCGACCTCTAGGGCTGTGTCCCAGGCTTGGCTTGTGGGTACTTCCGGATGGGGACGAGTGCCTCGGACAAGCAGCTGCCCCCTCTTTCCTTAGGTCCCTGGGAAGCCACACGAGCCGCTGTCTGTCCGGGTCATTGATTAATGTCCTTCTGTCACATTAAAGCTAGGCAGGATAACCTTGGGGACTTGGTCAGTTTGTTCCCTGCTGTCTCCTGCAGGAAAGGGGAGGAGCCAGATGCCTTGGGAGGCTCTGAGGGCCTTGGGGCTGCAGGGGGACTAGGAAGGGTCTTGAATCCTGGGCTCCTCATTGGGTGTCCCCGGGAGGCCGTGGCGAGGGATGGTGGCTCAGGCTCTGGAAGTCTGCCTCAGTGGCTCTGTGTGTGTATGTGTGTGTGTGTGTGTGTGCGTGGGGGGGGCATGTGGCCATCACTTACCCGGGCCTCATGGCACTGAGGGTGGATGGAGGGAGGCGGAGCCGAGGGGACTTTCTGGGATACCCGAGGGAGTTGCAGGGTTGTTTTGTTTTATTTTGTTTTTCAATTTTTCCTGGAAAGATACTTCAGTAGTCTTGTTAGATTCAATTTAAGAATAAGTAGCATCTGTATGAAAACGTCCAAAGGAAGCAGTGGGATGTTAGTGGTGGCCCTGGTGAGCAGCAAGGACGGAGGCTTGGATGTGTCTGATTTCCCAGTGTCCTACGGGGTCTGTCCTGTGCGGGCTGTGCTGTCTGCGTCGAGGGTTTCACCCCTGGACTTGCCTGCCCGTGAGTGAGTCTACTACTTACCAATGCTGCCCACTGCGCCCTGGCCCTTCACCAGGTGCCCTGCCTGTGGGCAACGGTAATGGCCCTGGCTCGTCCACTTTGCAGGGCAGTTGTGTGAATCAGAGGGGACAGTGGGAGGAGAAACAGGTGGCAGGTGGCCTCTCTGCAGGCGGGGGCCCTGTGGCTGGTATGTGTGACGGCCAGTGGGCATAAGGGCTGGCTGGTGAGTGAGTGCAGGGAGGGGCTGGGCCTGGTGCTGGGGTGCTGTGCTGACCCAGGCCTCCGCCACCAACAGGGTGGATGTGGCTCTGGGGCCTGCTGGGTAAGTGATTTCAGCCCACCCCTGGCTCACGTGTTCCTAAGACAGAGGTCAAGGATAGGAGCTCTCCCCCAGCCCCACCCCTGTGGCCATGGCAGGTTTGTGTCTTGCCAGTTGGGGCTGCTGAAGCAACAGACTTTGAAGCCTTGACTGTTCATGACGGCCTCTCCCTGTGTGTCATCTGGCCAAGACTGTTTTCCCGGAGCATGGAAATCTACTGGCCTTCTGCCACACATCCACACCACTGAGCATGTCACCTCCGCCAGTCCTTCCTCCACCCTCATGAAGGCGGGGAGACAAGAGGCCGTGGGGTCCCGCGTCTGCAAGCGGAGGCGCCTGTCCCGCGGGGCTGCCGTGCCTCACCCTGGTCTGCCTGCCGCCGCCCCCTCACTGCTGCTTTCTCTTCCTCACAGACGTCAAGCCCTCCAACATCCTGGTCAACTCCCGCGGGGAGATCAAGCTCTGTGACTTCGGGGTCAGTGGGCAGCTCATCGACTCCATGGCCAACTCCTTCGTGGGCACCAGGTCTTATATGTCGGTATGAACAGCAGGGGCCGATTCCCCAGCTTCCTGTCCGGTTGGGGATGGCAGCCAGGCTCCAGTCCTGAGTGGTGGTCAGGGGCCAAGAAAGGAGGGCTAAGGCACAGTGCCTGTTGCTGCCCCCCACCCAAAACCCCTCCCCCACTTTGTCACAGCGAGGCGGGGGGAACCGGTGTGCCTGGGCCCCTGCCTCACCTGCAGGACTTGGACCTTTGTGGGCATGGAGCTGAGCTTCTGTCTGGAGACAGTGAGCTCCCTGCCCTGTGGACATCTCCACCCAGTTGTCCTCGTCCCCTGCCGTTCTTATTTGGCCAGCATCCTCTCGGGGTCTGCCCTCCTGCCCCCAACCCCACTGGGCCCTGTTGCCACTAGCGTGCTGTGCCCACACCTGGGGCAGCACCTGTGTGCACTCTGCCCTCCCTGTACTAGGAGCTCCTTGGGGACAGGGCCAGGCAGAGGTTAATCAAGTGTGTGTGTGGGGGGCAGAAGGCATATGGCTGAGGACAGCTGGGAATGGTAGAGACCGGGGCCAGGTGAGTGCTGTGACGGGGCAGGGGTGAGCCATCAGTGGAGTGGGGGGGGGGTCAGGCACACGTGTGTGGGGTGGCCTGTGTTCTCTGTCAGCCCTGTGGCTTCCTCCCCTCCTCTCCCCTGATCCATGCTGCTGTCCTTGTGGCAACGATTGCTGTTCTTGTTTCAGAAGTGAGGAGGGTGAGATTCTGGCAGCGAACTTTGTGAAGGGGAGTGGGTGGGGCAGGCGCTTGGCACAGGGTGCAAGATGCTCCTGGGGCTGCTTCGTGGCACTCCGTAACAGTGTGCCTGGGTTTGGGTCCCAGCTCCGCTGGGGTGGTGCATCCTGGGAGGCGGCAAGTGGTGGCTCCTGCGGTTGGTCCTGTTGTCCATGTGGGAGACGGGATTGAGTCCTGGCTCCTGACTTCAGCCTGGCCCATCCCTGGCTGTTGTGGGCAGTTGGGGAGTGAACCAGTGGACAGGAGAGCTTTCTCTCTTTTTTAAATTAAATGGAAATAAATAATTAAAAACTAACATTACCAAAAGAAAGCATTTTAAGGAAAAAAGGCTTGGGAGCCAGCACTCTGGCATAGCAGGTAAAGCTGCTGCCTGTGGTACAGGCATCTCATGGGGCACTGGGTTCAAGTCCTGGCTGTTTCACTTCTGATCCAACTCCCTGCTAATGCACCTGGGAAAGCAGCAGAAGGTGACCCAAGTGCACCCACGTGGGTGACCCAGAAGAAGCTCCTGGCTCTTGGCTTCAGATTGGCCCAGCTCTGGCTGTTGCAGCCATTTGGTTAGTAAACCAGCAGATGGAAGATCTCTATCTCTTTGTCTTTCCTTCTTTTTCTCAATAACTCGCCTCTCAAATAAACAAATAAATCTTAAATAAAGATAAAAGCTTTATTTAATGCACCATTTTAAAAAAGATGTTTATTTTAAATTGATTTTCATCTACTTGAAAGGTAGAATGACAGAAAGACTGAGAGAGATTTGCATCCGCTGGTTCACTCCCGAAATGGTCACAACAGCCAGGGCTGGGCTTTGCCAAAACTAAGAGCCAGGAGCTCCATCTCGCTCTCCCAGTTGGGTGACAGGGCCCAAGTACTTGAGCCATCATCTGCTGCCTTCCAGGATGCATTTTGCAAGAACCTAGATTGGAAGTGGAGTAGCTGAGACTTGAACTGGCTTTCCTGGATGGGATGCAACACAGTGCCTACCCCACGCTCATAGTTGTGGAAGTTCATGTCCAGAGTCAGGCAGCCCTAGCTCTAGTGAGGACCAAGCGTCACATGGCAGGAGGTGTGGTGTGAGCGTGTGTGTAAGTCTGTGGAGCTCCTTGGAAAGCCACGAGGACTTTATCGAGGGGTTCCACCCTCAGGATTCCATCTGACGCAGCCACCACCCAGAGGCCTCTCCTCCAAACCTCGGAACTGGATTAAGGTTCCACCCTCTCAGTGCTGGTCACGTAAGACTTTGGGCACCGAATCCCTGATCTCAGAGAAACAAATGTTCAAACCATAGCCCTTGCCAGGCAGGACTGAAAGCCGCCTTGCCAGCTGGCGCTGTGCACAGCCAGCCCTCCCTCGCCTCCCGGTGAGGGAGTCCCTGCCAGGCCTGCATTCCTCCTGCTGGCCACCCTGATGGCCTCCACCCTCCCTGTCTCCTCACTGCGTCTTCCCTACGTGGCTGATAGCCAAGCAGCTGTTAGCCCCGAACTGCTCGGCCTACCTCTCAGGTTCAGAGTCAGCGGACAGGCAGTGGGCCTTATTGATCCAGGATTAGTGGTTTATGTCTTTGTGGTTAGAAGGTCAGTTCCAAGATATTCCAGTGTTAGTGAGAAACCCTATGGGAGGAGTTAATTTGCTGTCTAAATAAATATACCTCAGTGAGAATAGTTTTTCTTAAAATTCTTGAAATACATGTGGTATTTCAAGTGATGCTTTTGTGTAGTACAACTCTGTGTGTGTTTTTTTCTGTTGGGTCTGTCCCACCAATGTCAATCAATCTTGGCAATACATAGTCTAGGATTTCGTTTCACTTGCCCTCTCAGCAACTAGTAAGTGGCATGGGCATTTTGCTCCATTGCTATCACTATTACCACTGTCAGCTGCAGCCCCATTTTACAGGTGAGGAAGCTGAGGCTCGGGATCTCATAGTTTAGAAACCCCAAAGATGGGCCTTGAACCCCAGGCCCATTTTTTGCTCCCCAGTCTCAGGTTCATAGGGATGGAGCTTCACTAGATGCCAGCCCAGTAGGGCTGTCCGATCTGCACCGCCAGCCTCCTGGACCGTGCGCTGACGTCCCTCTTCCAGCGCGCGTTGTGATGGAAGGCTGGCTAGTGTGTCCGTGCTGCCAGACGTCCTGGTTCAGACTTGGTGACAGGATGAACCTCTCGCACGGGCTGTGGACAGGTTGCCTTGCACTACAAGACTGCAGCCAGGCTAGATGAAGCTGGAACACTGGCGTGGTGTAGCAGCCAGGGCCCAGCAGTCAGCTCTGCCAGTTCAGGGCAGCCCAGGGGCAGATAGAACCCTGAGGAGGGGTCCGAGCGGCAGAGCCTGCGAGGGTTGGTTTGGGGGCAGGTGCGAAGCCAAATTCAAGAAACTGGTTGATGCTGCTGAAGCAGCCCCGAGAGGACGGGACGGGAGATGTGGGCCTGTGCCCGTGCCGGGCCCAGCTTAGCTCAGGTGGTCTTGTCTGTGTCTCTGTCCTGCAGCCCGAGAGACTCCAGGGGACACACTACTCTGTGCAGTCGGACATCTGGAGCATGGGGCTGTCCCTGGTGGAGATGGCGGTGGGGCGGTACCCCATCCCGCCCCCCGACGCCAAGGAGCTGGAGCTGATGTTTGGGTGCCAGGTGGAGGGCGATGCGGCCGAGACTCCGCCCAGGCCCAGGACCCCTGGGCGGCCCCTCAGCTGTGAGTGGCCTGGTGTGTCCCAGCTTGCGTTCCGGGAGAGCCGGGGGTTTCTGGAAGGCTGGCTCTGCGTCATCGGCCCAGACAGGGACCCTGCGCTGGGTGCTGGGCGGGGGCCGGGTAGGGAGTTCCCGTGGTGGCCAGCAGCTTCCTGCCATTGGTTGGGTCCCCACCACGCCCTAGCTAGCACTTTCTGCACATCACCTCACCTGAGCTGCTGTGGTAGGTAGATCTTCTGAGATTACAGTTCACACGACAAATCCCAGGCCGTGTGCCTTTGTGAATCTGCACCTGTGTATCGTCCCTGCCCCTGTTGGGGGTCCCAGGCTCCGTGCCCAAGCCCTGTCTGTTTCTGAGAAGTGTTTCCTTTCTCTTTCTGGCATGGACAGCGTATGGAATGGATAGCCGGCCTCCCATGGCGATTTTTGAGCTGCTGGATTACATCGTCAATGAGGTGAGTGCACCCTGCCCTCTCGGAGTTGCTCCTCCTAAGAAAACACCCATGGTTGAGCTGACGGGAATCCTGCGGGTAGCTGCCCACGTGGGCCGCAGGGATTCCGTGTTCTGCTGCGTGTGCCATGCTGCTGGAGCTGAGAGGCCGATTTAGAACCTGCAGGAATCCCGTAGGGTCCCTCCTGCTCGCTCAGACTCGGGAGCCCCCAGCTTTCCCACTTGACCAGGCTTTCTTGCGTACTTGCTGTGTCCCGAGGACTGCGGGCAGGGGTGGGAGTAGAGCTGGGGTCCAAAGATGGAGAAACAGAAGCCCCTCGCCTGGCAGGCTGTGGAGAGGAGGCCAGGCGGACGCGTATGTAGCTGCTATGCAGTGTTTTCTCCTGGAAATGCCACCAACAAGCTGTGAGCAGAGGGCTTTTGTCCCACTGGGAAGATACCCACATCCCCTTCAGCACTCTTGGCTTCAGAGCCCAGCTCCTGATTCCAGCTTCTGCCAAGCAGCCCCGAAGGCAGTAGTGAGAGCTCAGTTGGCTGGATTTTTGCATGGGAGACCTGGCTTCAGCCTGGCCCAGCCTTAGCTGTTGCAGGCATCTGGAGAGTGAACCAGCAGGTGGGAGCCCTCCTTTTAGGTTTCTCTCAAAGAAAATTTTGAAAACCATGAATGTAAAATTGAGTACAGAAACAGGGACTATATCCACCATACCCTGTGTGAAGAGAGCAGATTATTACAGTGTGTGCACTGTGGTCAGTTCCTTGTGAAAGATCCACGTCTGTACACACGAGAGCACTTCAGAAACAGGGAAAATGAAGTTAGGGGCTGGCATCCCCTGGGAGTGCCAGTCCCAGCTGCTCGACTTCCGATCCAGCTCCCTGCTAAGGCCTCTGGGAAAGCAGCAGAGTGCTTGGGCCCCTGCACCCATGTGGGAGATCGGAAGAAGCTCCCGGTTTTGGCCTGGTCCAGCACCAGCTGTTGAAAGAAAAGAAAAATTAAAAGTACAAACTGTTTTGTGCAAGAAATGGCATAGGATGTGGAAATTGCTTATTATGAGAACACTGCTAGAGTTCCAAATATTTTCATACACCAGAATAAACTCAGTTTTAATTTCATGTTTCTGTGAACTTTTAGAAGCACCCTTGTACGTGCAATAAAGTCTGGAAATTAATAAGACAGTGGTTATTTTGGAGTGAAACTATTGACGAACCACAAGTTTCTTCTTGCGTGTTGCTGCTGGCTGACTTTAATGCAAAGACAAGCATTGTTGGTGAATTGTGTACTTGTATGCCATTGTGTGTAAATGAAAAAGGGATAGATAAGACACTGCTTGGGGCTCCTGGCTTCAGAGCAGCGTGATGCGCCGGCTGCGGCAGCCATTGGAGGGTGAACCAACGGCAAAAGGAAGACCTTTCTCTCTGTCTCTCTCTCTCACTGTCCACTCTGCTTGTCAAAAAAAAAAAAAAAAAGACACTGCTTGGGACACCTGCATCCCATATTGGAGTATCTGGCTCTGCTCCGATTCCAGATCCTGCTAATGTGTGATGTGCGACCTGGGAGGCAGTGGTGATGGCTCACGGCGCTGGGCTCCTGCACCCACGTGGGAGACGTGGCAGTGCTGGCGTGTAGGGAGTGAACCAGCCTCTCGGAGACAAAGCACGGGGTCTGCAGGGAGTAGGACGTTGTGCAGGAGCTCGAGGTGCTCGGAGGTGGAGGGGGCGTGTCTGGAGGAGCTGGGCTGAGGAGTCTGGACAGGGCCAGCGCCCCTGGCCACGGGGAGAGCCGTGGCTGGCTGGAAAGCCTGGACGAGTTCTGGCAGTTTGGGAGGCAGCTGAGGCCCGAGTTGGCTGCCGTGTAGGACCACAGGGTTGGCCCCAGCCTCTTCCTCAGGAATGAGATTCTGCACTCAGCATTTTCACAAACTAGGCCCGGGGCTGCATGGGGCAGCGTGGCCTGGGCTCCAGGGCCCCGGGACCATTATGGAAAGGCTCAGGAAGGTCCCCCTTGTCCACTGCAGACCCAGCAGGCCGCAGGCTAAGCCATCCCTGGCACATGTTCCCTGCCACTAGGGGTCTGATTTATGTCTGCACAGCTTTGTGCTAAGCACCGTGTGTGGCAGCTCAGGTCTGGTCCCTGCTGCCCCCGGGCTTCGGCCTGCAGAGCAGGTCAGGTTTGCGCAGTCAGGATAACGCCCTCAGCTGGTGCCTGGGGGAGCCCTGCGCTTAAGTGTGCACCTGCTGCTCTCCTGGGGCACCGTGCGCCTCTCCCACATCCTCACCTCCATTCCAACTTCGCACAGGTGAGGAGACAGGCTCCTCCTGCTGTACCCAGCCCCCTCCCCACTCCCTTGGACAGTGCCTGCAGGGTGGGACTCGCTGGGTTCTGGGCCTTGGCCTTCGCTCAGACTTCAGAGGCCTCAGGGAGGAAGGCTGTGCCTTCCTGTAGAGGGTGTCAGGGTCTCCGCTGTTGATGTGGGGCTGGACGGCCGCTGTGCCTGGGGGCTGGCTGCTCCCCAAGCAGACTCTGCTGCGGTGTGCAGGCCCCCTCTTTGGGACCAGCCCTGCACCCACTCGTGTTTCAGCTGTCCTCTGCCTTGCCGGGGCTCAGGGCTTAGGAGGGGATCTTTTCTCCTGCTTGCGTGTGCAGGCGCTGGCAGGGCTGGGCTCTGCGTGGTGGCTTGCACGTGCGCCTAGCTGCTGCTGCTGGTTCCCGCCCCATGCCCCACTCCAGGGTTTTCGGTTGTAGTCAGAGCTCCAAAGGCAGCGCCTCATCTCACGGGAGGAAGATCGAGGCTCAGGGAGGAAGAGTGATTTGCTTTAAGTCACCAGGCAAGTGAGTGCTGGACACTTGACCTGGTCCCAGTCCTGACTGTGCTAAGTGCTATACTGCAGTTCCAGCACAGTGGCCAGCAGCTCCCCCTGGCTGGGCAAAGGCAGTGCTGTGCAGGGCGGGCGGGACGGGGAGATGGCTGGAGCGGGAGCCCACGCGTCTCACAGCTTCACCTTTCTCTGCAGCCTCCTCCGAAACTCCCCAGCGCAGTCTTCAGCCTGGAGTTTCAAGATTTTGTGAATAAATGGTAAGTCGGCTCCCCACCTCCCCTGGGAGCCCCAGCTTGGCCTCTGTTGGGGATGTGCGTACACACAGACACACCCCTTCTGGCAGAGTGTGGGGACCTACAGGATGTGTTTGGCTGCAGCTGCTGCCCTGGGCACTTGCTCTCCGGGCACTGGCATGTTGCTTTTGGACCTCAGTGTGATTAAGAAGGGGTGGCCTTCCGAGTGCAGGCCATTGTGCTAAGAAAGGGAAGAGGCGGAGGCCCGGGGACCTCCTCAGCCTGCGGCGTGCGGGGAGGTGGGCCAGAACCAGTGCCAGGCAGTGGCTCTCACCCTGTCTTGTCTTTTTTGAAGCTTAATAAAAAACCCCGCCGAGAGAGCAGACTTGAAGCAGCTCATGGTGAGTGCATTTATTTCAGATCCTTAGATCCAGTCCAGTGCCTGTCGATTTGTGTTCTGTCCCCCCACACCCCGCCCCAGCCACCCACCTGGGGCCTCCTGAGCCCATTCCTGCTGTGCCCTGACCCCTGCGGGCTGCCAGGCCCCAGCCGCCTCTACCCTTCATGGGGTGAAGGAAAAGCCAGTGCTCCCCTGCCCCAGTGAGACCAGAGAGGGCCTCTCCCCGGCCCCCCAGCACCAGGGCCTCTCTACCCTGACCTGCCTCCTCTGTTGGGTGGTGGGGAACGGGAAGGCGCTCCTGTGGGCCCCCATGGCCTTTCATGCTCCAAGCAGTGGCCCAGGCCTCAGAGCTGCTGCCGCTGCCGCCCTGACTCCACTGCTGCTCAAGGGCGGCTCCAGGGGTCTTTCAGGTGCAGCCCGCGCTCCACCCCGCAGCCTCTTGGGTCTTCCTCTTGGCTTTGTGACCGTTTCTTCTCCCTGTCGCCTTGCGTGCAGGTTCATGCTTTTATCAAGAGGTCTGATGCCGAGGAGGTGGATTTTGCTGGTTGGCTGTGCTCCACCATCGGCCTTAACCAGCCCAGCACGCCGACGCACGCGGCCGGTGTGTGAGCACGGGGCGTGGCGTGGAGCCGACCCCCGCCCAGCGGTCTTCTTCCCGTGCTTGTCCCTGTTCAGGCGCACATTTCACCTGTGACAAAGGATGAGGAACACAGCATGTGCCAAACCTCTTGGTGTCATTCTCTCACTGTCTCTATCCTTAATACTGTCGTTACTCCCGAGTGGACTGGCTTTGTGCTTGGGGCTGTCTGAGTGTGCTGGTGATCAAAACTCGTGCCAGGCTTCACAGTGAACCCTCTGGCAAGTGTGCGTGCGGCCCCACCTCTGTCCTGGGTGGGGCTCACGCCGGCCACGCCTTCTCCATGTGAGTGGGCACCTGGCGGCCCTGCGCAGGGAGTGCATGAGAAGCATGCTTTGCTGCCGTGGAATGAGCGCCAGAGTGGACATCTTGTCACCTTCCTACTGGTCCTCTTGCTTTCTGTGTCGAATTCAGCAGTTCCCATCCAAATCCAGCCAGAGCCCCTCACTGCCAGGCTAGCTGGGCTCCCCAGCCTGTCTCCCGGGACGATGTGTAGACTGCTGGTTGTGTTTCTGTATTTATTTTAAATAGACTGTGTGGGGTATCTAGTGGTAAATGTCTCTAAGTTTGGAGTAGTGTTTCGAAATTGGTGGAGTTATTTTGAATGTCACAAATGGATCAAGGCATTAAAATGTGTCAGATTTCTCTCTTCAAATCTAAGTACCAATGCTGTTGTAAACAACGATGTGTACAGTGCCTACAAATTGTATGAAAATCCTTTTAACCATTTTATTCCAGATGTTTAACGAATTAATCTCTTATTCTAATAAATACAGTATCAAGTTAAAATCACTGGAAACTACGTGTGTGTTTGTGGTGGGCTTCCCAGGGTCTCTGGCACACAAGAAATCACAGGATCCAGCCCAGTGCCTCGGGCTCCCGGGGCTCCTGGAATTAGTCCCGTCCCGCGCCCGTCTGCGCTGCTTCTCTTCATACAAGGGAAAAGCGGGAGGCAGGGGCTGGAAGAAACCCCAGAAAGATCACAAAACTTTGCTTACTCACTGAACACTTTCCATGACCAAGAGCCAGGCTGGGGGCTTGGGCGGGCCTTGCTGCTGGAGAGGACTGTGCCTGGCACACATCAGTCAATGCCTGGGGAGGGGGAGCAGGAAGTCACAGGGTGACTGGGAACTGCGGTGCGTGGGAAGCCTTCAGCCGGGCTCGTGTTCTGCTTCCCAAGAGCAGGTTTCAGAAAACCAAAGCAGGAAAGTAAAAGGCCTAGCTCAGTCTTAGGCTAAAAACTGAACTTGGATAAGACACCTAGAACAGGCAGTTGTACCAGGAGCTGGGGACACAGGTAGCCCAGGCTGCCACCGCTGCGCAGGGCTCACCCACCACTGCCAAGGCTCCCTGGTCCACTTCTGCCTGTGAGACCATAGCTGGGCTAGGCCAACAGTCTGACCTACTCCTTTGCAACTTGGAGACCCCAGGGCTGCTGGAAGCCCCACTTGAGTCCCATGCTCACATCACCCACAATGAGCAGACCGCATCCCCAGGGGAAGGAACAGTGCCCCCTGGTGTCTCCAGAGGGTGTTTGAAAACTGAACTGCTTAGCTAACCTCGCCCACTGCTTCCTCAGACTTCCAAACTGAGCCAGCAGCCCCGGCTGGGTTCCAGATGGCATCATGTGAGCCTCATGACAACCTGCGCAACGACCAGAGCCGAAGGAATGGGAAGGTGACAGCTGAGAACTAAGAGCAAGTGGCCAGCTGGTCGGGGTGGGATTTGCAGCTCAAAAAAACACAGGGTTGGGGGCCGGTGCCCTGGTGTAATGGACCAAGCCTCCACCTGTGCTACCATATGGGTGCTAGTTCAGGTCCCGGCTGCTCTCTGCTGTGGTCTGGGGAAGCAGTAGAAGATGGCCCAGGTCCCTGGGACCCTGCACCCGCATGGGAGACCTGGAAGAAGCTCCTGGCTTCAGATCAGCCCAGCTCCAACCACTGTGGCCATTTGGGGAGTGAACCAGCAGATGGGATATATATAACTCCACCTTTCAAATAAATAAAATCCTAAAAACGAGAAAACAAAATGAGGCAAGCATTTAGCTGTGCAGTCACGTCACCACTGAGGCGCCTGCACCTGAGTGTACTTGGGTTCGAGCCCGACTGCAGCTTCCTGCTAACGCAGACCCTGGGGAGGCAGAGCTGATGCAAGTACCTGGGTTCCTGCCGCCCGTGCACAGAACTTGGACTGAGTTCCCTACTTCAGCCCTGGCCCAACCGTCCATCAGACAATCTGAAAGTGAACCAGCAGACACGTACTCTCTCAAATTTTACACACACACACACACACTTACATTTATTTTATATAAATATGTAAATATATATATATTCACTCATGTTCCAAAATTGTCTTCACGTTGTGTGTTCCAAGGAACATACTCATTTAAACTTCTGGCTGTGGGAGCTCAAAATAACGAATGCACACTGGCAAAGGTGTCCGTGTTCTCTGGAGCAGTCACACTCAGCTGCCGTGCTCGCTGGTGCTTTGCCAGGGGTCAGGTTTACAGGACGAAGCGACTCCATATTCATCTGTTGAGTGGAGATGCTCCTGGATGCAGGAGTGAATCTCTTACTCTGAAGCCGTCCTTTCTATTAGAAAAATCCAATCACCCAAGCACACTGGTTTCTTTTACTTGACTCCTTTTATTTATCAGGAAGGCAGAGACAGAGACCTCCCACCGACTGGTTCACTCCTCAAACACCCACAATAACTGGAACTGGGCCAGGACAAAGCTGGGAGCCAGGAACTCAATCTGGGTCAGCCACATGGGTGGCAGGGACTCGATCGCTTGAGCCATCACCTGTTGCTTCCCAGGGTGCACATTAGCAGGAGGCTGGAAGGGGGAAGAAGTGGGCCTCGAACCCAGGGGCTCCAACATGGCTGTGGTGGCCCACGCAGCATCCCCCGCTGCACGGTTTCTTTGACGGCACTTCTCCCAGGGGCCAGAGACAGGCTTGGGAGCAGTCTGCTGGGTGCCCTCCGGAGGGGATCTGCGGCTTCTCTGTAGACTTCCAGGCACGTGAAACCGGGCGTGCCTCAGATGGATGGGGCAGCTGCCCCACAGAGCCCTCTAATGCGTGGTGTCACTCGCGGCCTTAGTCCTCCCCTCGTCAGCTTTCATACCCGACGGCCTAACGGCCACCAGGATACAATGGCAAAAACTTGCACTGGTTTCCCTCAGAGACACACTGTGGACTGGAAAGGGTGATTTGAATTAAACTCTGCCAGTTTTGTAAACCCCAGGATGTCTTGGTAGCACCCCAGAGGAAACTGAACACAGTGAACGAGCCCGACCTGCTGACCAGCACCACGCACACTGTGCCACAGCATGGCCACATCTGCAATTTCCGGTGTCACTCACTCTCGTTAGTAAGATTCTGAAGGGGCTGGTGCTGTGGCAATGGCCAGAGCTGCACCGATCCAAATCCAGGAGCCAGGGAGCTTCTTCCAGATCTCCCACGCGGGTGCAGGGGCCCAAGCACTTGGGTCACCTTCCACTGCTTCCCCAGGCCATAGCAGAGAGCTGGATCGGAAGTGGAGCAGCTGGGACCTGAACCGGTTCCCATAAGGGATGCTGGCACTGCAGGGGTGGGGCTTTACCTGCTATGCCACAGCGCCGGCCCCCTGGCTTCCCTTCTAAGCAAGCATGGCTCTTGGTAAGATGATGCTGATTTCTTTAGAGAGAGTGAGACTTGGACGTTTGTGTGACCCTGGCTCCTTTCCTTTTTTAGGAATCTGACTCCTCCTCCTCCTCCTCCTCTTCTTCTTCCATCACGTGGCTCCTTGTACTTAACTCCAGTGCAGTTTGGTTGATAGATGCTTCATTGTCTACATGCACCAGCATCTGTGTTAGCCAAAGATAGTACACATTAGCAGGAAAGACACCGGCCTCAGAACAGCAAATTCTGAAAACTGCTTTCAAGTCACACGATTGGGTGTCCGGCCCCCATTTTTATGACCAAGAAGCCTGGCTTCTCTCCTGTTTGTCCAAATTCTGTCCCCACCGCCACCGCTACCAGAGAGGGCTCCAGCGCAGGAACTGTGCCCATTGACACGGGACTCTGCAGGCTCCTCACACCACACCTGGGCCAGCGGCGCTGCCAGGACGGTCAGAGGTGACTTCGCTAAGCGGCAGGCTCTGGACTGCAGCTGAAGTCACACTCTTCCCACCCCAGGGTTCCTTATTCACAAAGCAGCAGGAAGTCTGACCCGGCCCTCCCCAGGTCTCCGCACTCTCTGGGTTTATCCGTGCAGGAGGGTGGAAGCAGCCTTGTTACAGTGTAACCAGCGGCTGCAACGTCGTCGGACTGACCCCCCGCCGGCTTCCGCCACCAGAGGCCTGGGGCAGCGTCCCACGCAGGCAGCCTGCGACTCCGCCCCCTGCCCCCTGCCCCCAGCACTCACGGAGCTGACGTCTTCGGGCTGCTGAGCTACAGGCTGGGAAGACACCATCTCATCGTGCCCCCTTCCAGAATTAATCATTGACTGGAGGGCCAATTCTTCAACCTGCAAGGGAAGAGGCGAAAGACCCTTTCCTTACTATTCCACTGGGCTACTGAGCTGCCTAAGCTCCTGGGCGTGCAGGGGAGGCTGGCGCCGTGACGGAGGGGAAGAAGGAGACCAACAAAGAATGGCCCTGCGCAATACAGGTGTTCCAGCTGAGGCAGGTTCCCCTCCTCTCACCCGAACCTAGCAGCTCCTGGAGGGCACCCTATTCAGAAACCAGGGGTGCTTCCCGCAGCACCAGCAATGCTCGCTAGTGCTGCGAAGGGGCGGGGTGGACCACGGCGTCGGGAACCGCGAGCCGCGGCCACCCGGCCCGGAGAGGAGGACGGGCGGCAGCCGGCGAGCGCCGCCGCACGGGCCCGGTCACCTTGAGACGGTTCAGCTGGTCGTGCAGGGCCGCCTTCAGCTTCAGCAGCGTCTCCTCTTCCTTGCGCAGCTCCTGAAGCCGGCTCAGCATGGCCCCGCGCCCCGTCGCCCGGCTCCGCCGGCCGGTCGCTCGCTGATGACGCCACGCCGGCGACTCCCGGAAGTGCAGCAGGGGCGGGACCGGCGGCCATGTTAGGGAGGGCGGCGTGGCGCTTCCTTCCGGCGCTCGCTGCGGCCTGGCGTCTACGCGGGACGCTTCCAAAACACTTCTCGATCGACTGTGCCGATCCGTTCAGAGAGCGGCGCTCGCTGTTGCCAGGGAGAACGAAGCTTTCAACCCAAAGGCTGCAGCCGCCCTTAGAGTCGTGGCGCGTGAACACCGCGCCCCAGTCGGCTACCTGGGGACCGCAGAGCAGAGCCCACCACGGGCAAGGGAGACGGTGCCTCCGCTTGCAGGGACGTGGGGGTCGCAGTAGGACCACAAAAGGGAAAACGGTGCCTCTGCAGGCAGGATCGCGGTGGGTCGCAATAGCACCACAGAGGGGAGAAGGTGCCACAAGGAGCCCTGAAAGCAGTTGAATTCTGCTGTGAAACGTGCACACTGGTGCTGCTGGGAGGGGGCAGGGCATCCCCGCATGACACAGGCCGTGTACCCCGGGGCTGTCTCGGGGTGCCTGCAGCCCGCAGCCGCACGGGCACCACTGTGCCCTCCTGTGGGATCCTCGCAGGTGCACCCTACTCCTGACCCAGCCCCGCACAGCACACTGACCAGTCCTTAGGACCCTGCCTCCATGTGGGAGACCCAGATGGAGTTCCAGGCTCCTGGCTGCAACATGGCTCCGCCTTGGCCAGTGCGGCCACTTGTATTAATAAGGCAGAGGTCTGTGTCACCCAACTCTGCCTTGAGTGTTGTCCTGTTCCCTGGGAGGCTTAACTTTGAACCCATGTACTTCCGGTCTTACAGACCTACCAGACTGAGTGGCTTCCCTTGCATGGATTCAGTGTAAAATAGAGAATGAAGTAAGGAGGGTGGAATTTAAAGTCACACAACCCAGTAAGTGTTCTACACCGTCTCTGGCAGGGCCTTTATTCAGATAAAGTGACCTGCGATAAAGTAGCTGGCTTTAGGCAGTGGGCTTCTGTACTCTGTACTAAGAGTCATACAACCCAGTTTTTCACATCATCTCTCTTAGGACTTTTATTCAAAATAAGTGGCCCGGGATAAACGAGCTGCCACGTTAGGCAGCAGGCTTCTTGTCTTCCGGGCCGGCCCTCTTGTCGGCAGCCTTCTTGTCTGCAGCTGGCTTCTTGGCGGCAGCGGCCTTCCTCCCCACCACAGGCTTCTTCTTCTGCTTGATGCCCACGGCCCTGGGCTTCTTCACCTTCTTCCCCACCACAGGCTTCTTCTTGGCTGGCGCCTCCTTCGGGTCAGATTTGGCTGCTAGTGCCGCGGCCGCCCTCTCCACGCGGAGCTTGTGCTGCGAGGGAGGAGGCACAGTAAGAATGGAAGCTGCAAGGGGCAGTGCGCCTGCCCGAGCCCGGGCACGCTCACTCACGTTCCGGGCCTGCCGCAGGATGGTGTTGCGCCGCATGGTCTTCGCGTACGGGTTCAGCTTCAACATGATCCTCAGGTTCTTCAGCGGGTTCTTCTTCAGGACGCGGCGATGGATCTTCTTGCTGTAAAACATGTCAGCATTTCAGTCACATCACGTGCACCTCGGAGTAGCCAGCAACAGGACAGCGGGGCAAGGGCAAGGGCAAGTTCACTCTACCGTGGTGCTCGGAGCGCTCTCTGGATCTCTGGGCTCTTCAAGATTCTGCTGAGGTCTGTATTGAGCATCTTGTGCATGGGAAGGCTGAAGGGGTAACGTGTGATCAGCTAAAACCCCACGTGTATCTCAGGAGTAAAAAATCATTTATGCACAGCAGACAGCAAGCAGAATCCCCACATTTCTTGTAAACACCGGCCACAGGAAGGCAGAGCAGATCCCACCCAACCCCCCACTTGGAAACAGGCAGATTTGGAATGTCAGCAGCCGTCAGCATGGAGAACAGCACTCACTTGTAGTTGCTCTTGAGGGACGCGGCTTTACGCCAAGTGCCGTACAAGTCGTCCAGCTTCCGGAAGGCACTCTCCGTCCAGATGCAGAAGCGCCCCACGTGCCCGCCGGGCGCGAGCTTCAGGATGTTCAGCTTGGTCACGTTGAGCAGAGTGATCCCTGTGGGAGGGAAGGGAGAATGAGCGAGCCTGCGCCACAGGAAGGCACCAGCACCAGGCAGCTCGCTCAGCTGAGAGGTCAGAAGTTCCACAAATCATGGACTTCAGAAACACGGACCACAGTGGAGTCTCATCATCCTAGCCGAGCGAGCGCACCTCCGCGCGGGGACACGAGCCAACCGTGGCGTTACCAGGGATGTTCCGGAAGGCCTTGACGATGCCGTTGTCCTCATTGTAGATGACGCAGGGGCCCCTGCGCTGGATCCTCCGGCGGTTTCTCATTTTGCCCTTGCCAGCCCTCATCCGCTGAGAGGCGTACACCTACAGAGTGGGACGGTACTGAGACAGGATCTCCCAATGAAAATCGGTACTGCAGATCATCACGTGTGGGCACAAGAAGCTTGCTTAAGGTTATATACAGCCAGCTCCACGTCCTTGCTCTCCCAAATGCTATGGCCTAGGAAAAGCAATGGAAAATGGCCCAAGTTCTTGAGCCCCTGCACCCACATGGGAGCTCCTGGATTCAGATCAGCACAGCTCCGGCCATTGTGGCCTTCTGGGGAGTGAACCAACAGATGGAATACCTCTCTCCTCCTCTGCCTTTCGAATAAATCAATCTAACAAAACCAAACCTCTACACATACGGGGTGGTGACTGCTGCCTTCTACAACTACCTTTTGATAGTTGGTATGGAAACCGACATGTGCTTTTGAAAGCTACCTTCTTGATGTCATTCCAGGCCTTGAGTTTCTTAAGCAGCAGAACTGCCTCCTTGGTCTTCTTGTAGCCTTCAACCTTATCTTCGACCACCAGAGGAAGCTCCGGCACTTCCTCAATACGATGACCTGCCAAAGCCAATTCTGTGTTATCTGGCTACCCTGTGCCCCCTGAAAATCACACATGGATGACCCAGAGGAAAACGGGATACAATCTGCTGCATCAGAATTCCCACAATTATCATGTGTTTCAGAAACACGGACCAATGAAGTGGAATCTCATCATTTTGACAGCTGCGAGGGGAGCGTGACAGAAGTCCAGAGTGTACTACTGACACAGACCTGCTGGACTGACACAGTGCAGCGCTTAGTAAGGAACATTTCACACAGGCAGTTAGGACCCAAAAATGCCACAGACCTTTAGACATGACCAGCGCTGGCAAGGCCGACGCAGCCAGGGCAGAGCAGATGGCGTACCGCTTCTGGGTCGTGTTCACTCGCCGGTGCCAACGGCGCCAGGTTTTGGTTGGTGCGAACATGCGGCCTCCTCGGCACATCTAGTTTCTCAGTGAAGAATTACTTTTTTCAAATTTTAGTCATTTTAGAAAAAGGCTGTCTTGCTCAGTTAGCATTTTCGTCAACCTTCTGAACCAGCACACTGACAGCAGGCAACTGTCGCTGAGAACAGAGTAAGACGCAAATTACGACATCACGGCAAGCGCACAGCGCCACACGAGGCCCTGGGAGGCCCTTTCTACATCAAAGAGCGGCGTCTAACAGAGTATTTCTGTGCTGTATAAGCCGACCAGGTCCGGTCAGCTGCCTTCCCCGAGAGGGACTGGTGCAGGCAGGCAAACAAAGGATACATTCCCAAAGGCACCCTGGCCGGATCGGTGCGTCCCGCCACCCTCGCACTCTGGGAATTCGCGCCACAGCTCTGCCAGTACCCCACGACTCAGCACTGGTCTGGTGACCTAAAAGAGCGAAGAAACAGATGTTCTAGCTACTTCATTACACCCATCATGACAACGCCAGGCAGCAAGCAGCATCAGAGCGTCGAGAACATCACGTGTTCAGAAACACGGACCAATGAGCTGGGATCTCATCACGGCTGCAAAGCGGCCCCACCCGAGGCCGAGGAGAGGCGCACAGCCGTACCTGCCAGCTCACTGACGGCATAGGGCTGCCTGTTGTTCTTGCGCAGGTTGGTGTGCACGAAGTTCACGATGTCTGGCCGGATGGGAGCCTTGAACACGGCGGGCAAAGTCACATTTTTGCCGGACGACTCCCCCTTCTCGGAGTACACCGATATGAGTGGACGAGCACACGCCTCGGGGAGAGAACAGACACTCAGGACCTCGGGCCCTGCCCCCACGATTTCCACCCTCGACTCATCCGAACTTCCGTTCCTAATCATCTCCGGTGAAGTGCACCTTTCGGGAATAAACTTCCCTCAGCGCTGGCCTTTGTTACTTTCTGGCCGCGACACCCAGGGCTGCAGGCTGGGCCCACACAGCCGGCTTCCCTTGGATGCCTCTCCCAGCCCCTGCTGGGACCCCCACCCCCTCCGGCCACGCTGTGCACTCCTCCGCAATCCCCACATGGCCACTCGAGAGTCACTGTCTGTAAAACTTCAGTCTTTTTAGGAAGGTTGTCTTGCTCAGTTAGCAGTTTCGTCAACCTTCTGAACCAGCGCGCTGACAGCAGGCAACTGTCGCTGAGAACAGAGTAAGACGCAAATTACGACATCACAGCAAGCACACCTCCCCGGGAAGCCGCTCGGAAATTGTATCCAAGTAAGATTCGGCGCTAGGGCACCCCGAACACTTCCGACCTCGTTCACTCAATCGCCCTAAGGACAGCGCTGTCACTGCTCCACTGCCTTACCCCAGCCGCGCACACACACGGACCCCACGGCTTTTAGAGGAATGGCTCCTAGGCCGGGCAGGGAAGTAAAAAACAGGTGTCCTCCTCCGTTTAACAAAGCCCCGAAGGTAAGAACCTCTCACGTCGCGTGAGAGACCGCACACCGACCCTCCTCGGCCCCTTTGGGTCTCAGGCCCAGGGACCTCCCGATCCCCGCAGAACCCGTTTCCCAACATCCAAGGCGCCCGAGAACGACCGGCGCGCCTGAGCCGGGCCGCCCACGTTGCCCTTAAGATGGCTGCCGGGTCTCCATACAACCCGGCTGCTCGGCAGGAAACAGACGCGCTCGGCCCTCATCGCCTTTGCTCTTCCTCCCTCGCAAGCTTTATGGCCCGAACCCCTAGTCCTCCCCGACTAGCACCCCACACGAGAGGACAGTCGGGCCCGGACGACTTCCACTCACCATGGCGGGGAGAGGTGAGAGCCACGCTCCTCTCCTCCCGGCGGCTCCCACAGGAAAAGGAAGGACCTATCACTCCCGCGCTCTATGTACCCTTCAACTCGTCCCCCACCTAGCCCGCCTAAGAACCCACGCGGAGGAACAAAACCTCCCTATACCACACTGTAGAAATCAGAAGCACCGTATTGTTTATTCATGTGGCTCAGGTTACGTAGATATTGTCTTTCAAAATTAATAATAGTGTTCAGATTGAAGGGACTCTTTTGCGCGGAGTAATCCTCAAGGGGCGTGGCCAAGTCTCGCGAGACGCGGTGTCTTCTCCCGTAACCCCTACACTTATTTTTATTTTATTTATTTATTTTTTTCCAGAACAGGACTGAAAGAGCTGTGGTTAAGAAAAGACGCGTATTTTGGTGCTGCGAAATAAAAATTTAACTTTGCGGAAAACGGAACTCGTGGAGCGTAAAAGTAGTCCCGGCGGGGCGGGGCTGTGACCCCTGACGTCGGCGGCGGGCGCGCAGTTCGAGTCGGACCGGGGCGGGATGTGGGCGCGAGTCAACCGGGCGGCGGCGGATTTCTACGCTGGCCTGCTGCAGTGAGTCGTGGTCCCCCGCGTCGGCCGGGGTCTGGGGACGGCTCTCCCGCCCCAGGGGACCCGGCTGCCCGCGTAGAGCCGCCTGCCGCCCTGGGGCGCTCGCTTCTCCGGCGTCCCGGGGCGCGGGAGGCGGCGGGGGGGGGCGGGACGGGCCCGGGGAGGGGGCTGGGGGGCGTTTTGGGGACAAGAGCCTGTGCGTTATCTAGCCAGGTGGGAATTGACGAGCCTTCCACGGAAGCCCCCGACCCGGCCGCAGGTGCTCCCACCTGTGACGGAGAAGCAGAGGCACCCCGGAGACGGAACGCTCCGTGTCGGGGCTCCTCACCCGTCCGCTCCGGGGCGGGCCGCGCGCAGTGCTTCGTCCTATCTAAACGTCGGACCCACCGGGGCCTAAATAACTACCAGTTATTTTCTAAATACAAAAAATATTTTTTTAAGAGGCCGGCGCCATGGCGCAGCAGGTGTGGCTGTGGCCTGTAGTCCGAGCCGCTCCGCTTAGACCCAGCTCCCTGCTAAGGCGCCGGGAGAGCAGCGGACGATGGCCCAAGTGCTTGGGCCCCTGCCACTCCTGTGGGAGACCCGGAAGATAGATGGGCCTGGCTCTGTCCTGGCCCTGCCCTGGCTGTTGCGGCCATCTGGGGAGATCTCTCCCTCTGTGTAACTCTGCCTTTCAAATAAGTAAGTCTTAGATTCATCTGTTTATTTACTTAAAAGGCAGAGTTAGGGAGGAAGACACGGAGAGAGAGGTTCTATCCGCTGGTTCACTTCCCAGATGGCCAGGCCAAAACAAGGAGCAGCATCCGGGCCTCCCGCGTGGGTGCAGGGGTCCAAGCACCTGGGCCACCTTCCGCAGCTCTCCTAGGAGAATTAGCAGGGAGCTGTGTCTGAGCGGAGCAGCCGGGGCTCAAGCGTGGGTTGTTGGCATTGCGGGCAGTGGCTTTGCCAGCGCCATGAATGCCGGTATTTTGAATTGTTTATCGCTGTTCTTCTGAAGTTTTTAAGCATTATATAAAGAGCCCTGGCTCTTTGAGAAACTGCCAGTGCCTTGGGTTTCTTTCAGGGTGAGCGCCCATAGAACTGTTGGGTTGTTTTTAACTGCTATGTGGCATTTCATTCTGCCAGTCCCCTACTGATGGAACTTTATTTAGACACTTGCTGCTTCCCGGCACTGGGGGAGTGTTGGTCTTTCCATTGTAAGCACTGACGTTTCTGTGTGGCTTCTCTTGCATCGCTCACAGGGACTGTGTACCCAGCTCCCTGCTGGAAATGATTTTTTAAAGGTTTATTATTTGAAAGGCAGAGTTAGAGGGACAGAGAGCGCGCTTCCATCCTCTGGTTCACTCCCACAAATCCTGAAGGCAGGAGCCTGGAACAACGTCTGAATCTTTCACCTGAGTGGCAGGGGCCCCAGGTGGTTGCGCCATCTAATGCCACTTTCTCAGGCACGTTTGCAGGGAGCTGGATGGGAAGTGGAGCAGCCAGGACTTCAACTGGCTCTCATATGGGATACGGGCACTGCAGGTGGCGGCTTAACCCGCTGAGCCACAACCCACCCCCCAACCCACTGGAAGTTTTCACATAGGAGACCTCAGTGCCTGCAAAATGGAATTGATTTTCTGCCTAACCTGACATCGGTTCCTGAATTCCGTCTCCGAGTTAAGAGTTCTCAGCCGAAGCCTCCTACCCTGACCCCACCCTCCACCCTCAGTCCTCTGTTCGCCTCCAACCCTGCTGTTCTCCAGCCCACACTCGTTCCCGCACGCCAGCACTGTTGCCGTCCTTACTGGCAGGAAGAGCGCCACTGTTTAAAACCCTTCAGTGAGTTCTTGGCTTTCAGGATCCAGTTCGAGTCCTGTAAGCTAGCTTCCTGTGCTGGTCACCATGCAGATTGGCTTCCTTGGGGGACTCCAGTTGGCCAGGGACCATGCTTTTGTTTGAGATCCCCAGCACCTAACAAGAGTGCCTGGTGTATAAAGCACATTTTGAGAGATGATTAATTTGTGACTGATGAAACAGCATCCCTGAGTTATCCATAAAAAGACACCATCTTTGGTGCTGTCATTGTGGCGTGGCGAGTTAGGCCACCATCTGGACTCTGGCATCCCAGATGGGGACCGATTCCTGTCCTGGCTGCTCCACTTCCAATCCAGCTCCCTGCCAGTGTACTGAGGAAGCAGCAGAAGATGGCCCAAGTGCTTGAGCCCCTGCACCCATGTAGGAGACCCAGAGGAAGCTCCTGGCTTCAGCCTGGCCCAGCCCCAGCCATTGCATCCCTCTGGGGAGTGAACCAGTGGGTGGGTGAAAGATCTCTCTGTCTCTGTAACTCTGCCTTTCAAATAAATAAATCTTAAAAGTCACAGTCTTGCATGATTTGGCAAAAGTGGATCAGTCCGAGGCCCAGCGGTCCTGTTTGAGCATGTCATGTGGTAGATCCAATGTAAATGGTATCCTGAAACAGTTTCACTGGGTCCTCCAAAGACTAAAGATGCTCATGTCTTTCAGAGGATAGACCAGTCTGATGTGTGTTTGCTCTGTTTATAGCTTATGTGCTTTGAGGTCACTGTTCACAAACTTTCTTTAATGGGGTGTACAAGTGGATGGAAGACTGCTGTCTCATCCCCTCTGGAACTCAGCCTTTCAAGTAAATAAGTGGATCTTTTAGAAATTGTCCTAAAATTGAGTTACATGATAATTTTTAAGTGATATCTTAGAGTTTTGTGCCTTTTTTTTTTTTAAGAAAGAATGCCAGAGATACCTTCCATCTGCTGGTTGATTCCCCAGATGCCTGCAACAGCCAGGGCTACAGCAGGTCAAAGTGAGGAGCCAGGAACTCCATTTGGGTCTCCCACATGGGTGGAAGGAATCCAAGCTCTTGGGCCATCATCTGCTGCGTCCCAGGCACATGAGCAGGAAGCCTGATTGAGGGACACAGTAGCTGGGACTCAAGCCAGTGCCCCATGTGGCATGTGGGTCACCCAAGTGCCCTCGCCAGTGCTTACATGTTTTACAAGAAATAGGCAACATTATCAAATTTCCTGGTTTTTAATAACAGCTCTTAACAATGGAGGATACAAGGTTCCTTATTAGCCATAGGAATCTAAGGCCTGGGACCTTTAAGTAAATCCTCTGTGGTTATTCACTTACACTCGTTGGCCAGTCAGGATCCTTTCATTTTTACTTTCCAAGCGTCACGTGTGAAATGACACGTTAGCGTGAATTGGTGTGTTTGAAGAGATTGTGGAGGTCGGCCACAGCCTCATTCCTCAGAGAAGCCATCGACGGGGTCATTCATCTCTGTCACAAGTCTCTTCGTTCTTAACCTTTTTTTTTTTTCTTGCTCACAACTGTGCCTCGGGCTACCATAATGACTTTGCTTTTTGCTTTTCTCACTGGTATTACACGGAGTTAAAGTGATGTTTAACTCCAAGTAACAGGACAGCTGTTGTGGTTCTGTTAGCAGGGATGGGTGAAAGAATTCACATGAGACAGAGGGCAGGGTAAGCAAGGTAGCAAGGTTTAATGGGGTGGGGCATCCATCAGAAAGGATGGGCACCTCTCCAGACAGCCTCCCAGAGTGCCAGTCACTCAGACTGGGGAGAGCAAGGCTACGTGATTTAGTGGAGAGAATGCATGTGGCAGGCCAGGCGGGCGGCTCAGCAGAGAGCTGAGAGCTGAGCACGCAGTCTGTATTCAGACCAGGGCTCCTAAGGGAAAGGGTCGGGTTCTCCTGCTGTTTCTCCTTCCTTGCCTCCTCCTCCTCCTCCCCCCCCTCCTCCTCCAGGACAGAGGTTTGCTGAGTGTGAACAGGCGAAACTCCTCCCTAGGTGTCACTACTCAGTGCTGTCAGACGGGGGAGCCCACCTGGCACCGGGCCCAGGAGCTCCCCCCAGGGTGCCTTCCGTGGGGTGGGCCGGGACGGCTGTGCTGCCCAGTGATGAGGCTGGGTGACCACTGGTGCTGAGCAGAGGGTTCTCCTGGGGAGCTCTCGCGGGGGGAAGGCTGAGGCCGCCTGTGAAGTTGTCGGGGTCTGGGCAGGACTTGGCAGTGTAACCTGCCGGGCAGCTCCCAAGGTGAGCTCCTGCAGAGGCTGTGCTTCCCTTAGGCCCGCTCCCCACACAGGCTCATTTCTAACGTCCCACCTAACAGTTCTGTTTTTCACATGTGGTTCTACATTTCAGGGTATTTAATGAAGAAAAGAAAGGAATCTGTAAGGACCCATTTTTCTATGAGGTATGAGCAATTTGTTTTTTTTAAGAAAATATTTATTTGAAAGGGAAAGCTAAAGAGAGGGAAGGAGGGTTCGAGAGATCTTCCGTCTGCTGGTTCGCTCTGCAAGTGCCTACAGGAGCCAGGATCTCCTGGGTCTCTCATGTGGGTGGCAGGAACCCAAGCACTGTGCCATCGTCTCCCAGGTGCATTAGTGGGGAGCTGGATCAAAAGTGCACGTTGGGGGCTGACGCTGGGGCATAGTAGGTTAAGCCTTCACCGCCGGCTTCCCATATGGGTGCCAGTTTGAGTCCTGGCTGCTCCACTTGCAATCCAGCTCTCTGCTGTGGCCTGGGAAAGCAGTGGAAGATGGCCCAAGTCCTTGGGCCCCTGCACCCTTGTGGGAGACCCAGAAGAAGCTCTTGGCTTCGGACTGGTGCAGCTCCAGCCATTGTGGCCATTTGGGGAGTAAACCAGGGGATGGAACACCTTTCCCTGTCTCTCCTCTCACTGTCTGTAACATACCTATAAAATAAATAAATAAATTACAAAAAATAAAAAAGACGTGCACGTTATCTGGGACTGGAACCAGGCACTGATATGAGATACAGGAGTCGCGGGTGACAACTTACTGCACCACAATGCCTGCCCATATTTGTGGTGTTTAACACAATCTAAAATTGTGGGTTTTTAAAAGTCAGGTTTTTTGTGGTTTATTTATATACACTAAATTTCATTCTCTGAAGGTAGAGTGCTATCAGGTTTTGCTGTTGTTGTTTTTTAAGATTTATCTATTATTTGAAAGAGTTATAGGGAGAGATGGAGAAAGATAGATCTCCCATCTGCTGGTTAACTCCCCAGATGGCCATACTGGCCAGGGGTGGGCCAGGCTGAAGCCAGGAGCCAGGGGCTTCATTTGGGTCTCCCACATGGTTGTAGGGGCCGGATACTTGGGCCATTTTCTGCTGCTTTTCCCAGGCCACGAGCAGGGAGCCAGTTTGGAAGTGGAGCAGCCAGGACACTAACACAGGTGGCAACTTCACCTGCTATGCCACAATGCCGGCCCCAGTTCTGTGAGTTTTAACAAATGCATTAGGTTGGCCGGCGCCGTGGCTCACTAGTCCCTGTTGGGGCGCCAGATTCTGTCCTGGTTGCTCCTCTTCCAGTCCAGCTCTCTGCTGTGGCCTGGGAGGGCAGAGGAGGATGGCCCAGGTGCTTGGGTCCCTACACCCACATGGGAGACCGGGAGGAAGTACCTGGCTCCTGGCTTTGGATCGGCGCAGCGTCGGCCGTAGTGGCCATTAGGGGAGTGAACCAATGGAAGGAAGACCTTTGTCTCTGTCTCTCTCTCTCTCTCTCTCTCACTGTCTAACTCTGCCTGGCAAAAAATAAATAAAAAATGAACTAGGTCATGTAACTACCCCTATAATCAAGATACAGAGTGTTTCTATTATCTACAAGAATTTTCTTTGTATCCACTTATAGTGGGTGCTTTTTCCTGCCCCTAGTCCTTGGCAGCCACTAATCTATTTTCTCTTTTTATTTATTTATTTAGCCTTTTCCAGAATGCGATACAAATAAAATCATAGAGCCCTTAGGGTCTGGCTTCATTTCATTAGTCTAATGTGTTTGAAATTGATCTGTGTCGTAGTGCGCATCCTTTTTACTGTGTTCCGTTGTGTGGATGGACTGCAGGTCAGTTATCCATTTGCCAGTGGAAGCATTGTGGCTGCTTCTAGTGTTCAACAATTACAAATAAAGTTCTGTAAACACATATTAATTAGGCATCTGATACGTGCGAAGTGTTCCATATGTAAACTCCCCACAGTTGGGGTCATAAATCTGCATCCATGAAATAATTACTGATGTAAGATGAATCGCATGTTAAAAGACAAATAGGTGGGGAGAAAATGTCATGAATACTAATGGTTAATTTCTGTGTGTACCTCTGTCTATCTATGTATATAAGGAGCTCTTAAAAATAAGCAGAACTAGGGATTAAGAAGAATAGGCAGAGGACACAAGTAGGTAATCAGGAAATTACAGGTATGCTTATCCCTTAAAAAACTCAAGAAGTAAATATATCCCAGTATATTTTTTCATATTTCCCTGTTATATTCTTTTCGCTTGATTTATTTTTATTTTTATTTTTATTTCTTTTTGACAGGCAGAGTGGACAGAGAGAGAGAGACAGAGAGAAAGGTCTTCCTTTTTGCCGTTGGTTCACCCTCCAATGGCTGCCACGGCTGGTGCACCGCGCTGATCCGATGGCAGGAGCCAGGTGCTTCTCCTGGTCTCCCATGGGGTGCAGGGCCCAAGCACTTGGGCCATCCTCCACTGCACTCCCTGGCCATAGCAGAGAGCTGGCCTGGAAGAGGGGCAACCGGGACAGAATCCGGCACCCCGACCGGGACTAGAACCCGGTGTGCCGGCGCCGCAAGGCGGAGGATTAGCCTAGTGAGCCGCAGCGCCGGCCTCTTTTTGCTTGATATTTATTATTTCCCAGGGCCACTGATCCAGGGTACCACCAACGAGGCGGCTTAAAATAGCAGAAGTTTGTCTCCCACTGTGTTTTTTCTAAAGATTTATTTATTTATTTGAGAGGCAGAGTTACAGAAGGGGAGACAGAGATCTTCAGTCTGCTGGTTCACTCCCCAAATGGCCGCAACGGCCAGGGTTGGGCCAGGACAAAGCTAGGAGCTTAAGCTTCGTCTGGGTCTCCCACATGGGTGGCAGGGGCCCAAGTCCTTGAGCCCTCTTCTGCTTTCCCAGGTGCATTAGCATCAGAAATGGAGCAGCCAACACTCAAACCAGCACCTATATGGGATGCTGGAGTTGCAGGCAGTGGCTAACCCACTACACCACACCACCAGCCCCTCTGCCACAGTTTTGGAGACTGGAATGTAAGCAAGGTGTGGGCAGGACCATGAACCTGCTGAAGGCTTTAGGAAAGGTTCCTGCCATCTGCCATCCTTCCCAGTTCCATGTGATTGCCAGCAGTCTTTGGTGCTGCCTAGCTTTTATGGCTGCGCAACTCCACCTGCCTCCCTGGGAACATAGCTTTATCCCTTTGTCTGCATGTTTTTGTGTCTGTAAGTCTTTCTCTCTTTTTAAAAGATTTATTTTACTTATTTGAAAGGCAGAAGTAGAGACAGAGAGAGGTCTTCCATCTGCTGATTCACTCCTCAAATGGCCACAATGACCTGGGCTAGGCCAGCCTGAAGCCAGGAGCTAGGAGCTTCTTCCAGATCACCCACTTGGGTGGTGCAGGGGTCCAAGCAGTTGGGCCATCCTCCACTGCTTTTCCAGGTGTATTAGTGGGGAGCTGCGTCAGAAGTGGAGTAGCCAGGACCCAAAGCAACATCCATATAGGATACCAGCTCAGCGGGCCAGGGCTTTAACCGGCTGTGTCACAGTGCCAGCTCCTGTAAGTCTATCCATATAAGAACAGAAGTCATTGGATTTGGGGCCTGTCCTAATCCTAATTAATCCTTATCTTGATTACATTTGTGAAGACTTGCCAAATAAGGTCACATTCACAGGAACTAAAGATTAAGACTTCAGGAAATCTTTTCAGGTGACACAATTCAACCTATAACAGTCCTCAGACCTCAAGAACCTAGAGATTAGAATAACCTAGTGTCCTTAGCCCTCCAAACTTGGTAGCTAAATGTTTCAAAATCCAGACTAAGGTGGGGCTGGCACTGTGGCACAGTAGGTTAATCCTCTGCTGTGGCCTGGGAAAACAGTGGAAGATGGACCAAATGCCTGGGCCCCTGCACCCATGTGGGAGGCCCGGAAGAAGCTCCTGGCCTCGGATCGGCTTAGCTCCTGCCGTTGTGGCCATTTGGGGAGTGAACATGCGGGTGAAAATCCTCTCTCTGTCTCTCCCTATCACTATCTGTAATTCTACCTCTCAAATAAATAAAATCTTAAAAAAAAAAAAAACCCAGACTAAAAAGTGTTCAAATAACGAGCAAGATTTGTCTTTAGTGAGCGTGTTAGGTGCTGTTCACCTTTGTTAGTGATCAAATGTATTAACCATGAGAATATTCATTGTGTTGACAGAGGTGATAGAAATGTGAACAGTAGATAGGATATATTTGATAGGCAATTTGGGGCCATTGATGTGATTTCCGGTATCCACCTTAAGATAATTCCAGGATATCTGTTATTAGTTGCTTCCCAGAGCAAATAACTGGAAGCTATCCACAAGTCGTACTCTGAAATTCATTCTGAAATGCCAGAGCTGTGGTCCTAGCTAGTCAGAGAATATTTCATAACATGGGAAGAGTGTCACCATATAAAACCACTAGACTATTTTTTATTAAGCAAACTTAAGTCTGTGATACTTAAAAATTATATTTTCTTTTGTATAGGTTAATACAAGGTTTACTTTTTTTTTTTTTTAAGATTTATTTATTTATTTGAAAGAGTTACAGAGAGGCAGAGAGAGAGAGAGAGAGGTCTTCCATGTTCGCTCCCCAAATGGCCACAACGGCTGGAGCTGGGCTGATCTGAAGCCAGGAGCTGGGAGCTTCTTCGGGTCTCCCGTGAGGGCCCAATGAATTGGGCCATCTTCTGCTTTCCCAGACCACAGTAGAGAGCTAGATCAGAAGAGAAGCAGCTGAGACTCCAACTGGCACCCATTTGGGATACCGGCACTACAAGTGGCAGCTTTACCCACTATGCCCAGTGCAGACCCCAAAATATACATTTTCCATTCAAATAAATTTGAATCTCTTTGCCTGGAAAAAGATCTGGCAGAAATAGATGAACCAGGCTAATAATGGTAGTGATTATCCATGGGCTATAGAATTACAGATTCTTTTTAAATCTTTTTAAAATTTTTTAAATTTTATTTGAAAGAGTTATAGAGAAAGGCAGAGAGAGAAGTCTTCCTTCCATTGGTTCACTCCCCAAATGGCCAGAGCTGAAGTGATCTGAAGCCAGGAGCAGGAGCTTCTTCAAGGTCTCCCACGTGGGTGCAGGGACCCAAGGACTTGGGCCATCCTCCACTATTTCCCAGGCCATAGCAGGAAGCTGGATCGGAAGAGGAGCAGCAGGGACTGGAACCAGTGCCCATGTGAGATTCTGGGGCTCTAGACCGGGGCTCTAACCTGTTTCTCCCCAGTGCCAGCCCCCAGATGATTTTTTTTTTAAAAAAGATTTATTTTACTTGAAAGTCACAGTCACACAGAGAGAAAAGAGGCAGAGAGAGAGAGAGAGGTCTTCCATCCACCAGTTCACTTCCCAGATGGCCACAACAGCCGGAGCTGCGCCGATCTGAAACCAGGAGCCAGGGGCTTCCCACAGATCTCTCACATGGGTGTCGGGGCCCAAGGACTTAGGCCATCTGCAGCTGATTTCCCAGGTCACAGCAGAGAGCTGGATTGGAAGTGGAGCAGCTGGGTCTCATACTGGCACCCATATGGGATGCCAGCACTGCAGGTGGCAGCATTACCCGCTATGCCACAGCACCGGCCCCCCAAGATGAATTTTTAAAATCTTTTAGCTGTCTTTTCAAACTTTCCTACGTTAAAACATGTATTGCAATTGGAAAGAAAAGATACATATTTCTTATAAACTGATAAAGTTCTACAGATTCATAGTACTGTCAGAAGAAGGGGCAGTATTTAGTAAAGTGCTAATTTTATGGTCCATGGTAGGAAATGCCATGTGGTTAGAGGAAAAGGGCATCTGTGTGGTGTTCTCCAGGCCAGGTGCATTGCAGGTAGGTCTGGAGGTGTGGACAGATGGAAGAGCTACATTTTCTAAACATGAGGAGTAACTTAAAACATGCCGCATTCACATTCTCTCTTCTAGTCAACTCGGATACAGTGCTCTGTGCTCAAATATTTGTACGTAGATATGTTTATGTATGAGTATAACATTGCTTGACATCTGTTCTTAACAGGCTGATGTTCAAGTGCAGTTAGTCAGCAAAGGCCAACCAAATCCTTTGAAAAATATCCTAAATGAAAATGACGTTGTATTCATTGTGGAAAAAGTGGTAAGTAGTGCTTGGGCTTTATGATCATTTATTTATTAATTTGAGATTCATTTATTTGTTTGAAAGGCAGAGTTAAGAGACAGCGTCCATCTGCTGGTTCACTCCCCAAATGGCCACAAGACCCGGACTGAGGAGGCTGAAGCTAGGAACCAGCAGCATCATCTAGGTATCCCATGCAGGTGGCAGGGGCTAAAGCACTTGGCCCATCTTCTGCTGCTTTCCCAGGCACATGAGCAGGGAGCTGGATCAGAAATGGAGCAGCCAGGACTCCAGCTGGTGACCATATGGAATGCTGACATTGCAGGCAGCAGCTTTTTTTTTTTTTTTTTTTTTTGACAGGCAGAGTTATAGACAGAGACAGAGAGAAAGGTCTTCCTTTTTGCTGTTGGTTCACCCTCCAATGGCTGCCGTGGCCGGCGTGCTACAGCCTGGCGCATTGCGCTGATCTGAAGCCAGGAGCCAGGTGCTTCTCCTGGTCTCCCATGCAGGTGCAGGGCCCAAGCACTTGGGCCATCCTCCACTGCACTCCCTGGCCACAGCAGAGAGCTGGCCTGGAAGAGGGGCAACCAGGACAGAATCCGGCGCCCCGACTGGGACTAGAACCCGGTGTGCCGGCGCCGCAAGGCGGAGGATTAGCCTAGTGAGCTGCGGTGCCGGCTTAGGCAGCAGTTTAACCTGCTGCACCACAGTGCTGGCTCCAGTTCTTTAATTCTTTATTTAAACAAATTTGCTTCGTTAAAAATAATCTCAAACATACTCATTGTTTTATGAGCATTAGTGAATTTATTTTTGACAGGCAGAGTTAGAGTTATAGACAGTGAGAGAGACAGAGAGAAAGGTCTTCCTTCCATTGGTTCACCCCCCAAATGGCTGCTACGACTGGTGCAGCGCTGATCCGAAGCCAGGAGCCAGGAACTTCCTCCTGGTCTCCCATGTGGGGGCAGGGACCCAGGCACTTGGGCCATCCTCCACTGCCCTCCCGGGCCACAGCAGAGAGCTGGACTGGAAGAGGAGCATCTGGGACTAGTACCCGGCATCCCAACTGGGACTAGAACCCAGGGCGCCACAGGCGGAGGATTAGCCAAGTGAGCCATGGCGCTGGCCGCATTAGTGAATTTTTTAGGAATAAGTATTGTGCTAAAAGAAATATAATATGAGCCACTGTAATTTGGAATTTTCTGATGGCCTCATTAAGAAAAAGAAACAAATGAAAATATCATTAAGTCAATAAAATTGGCTTTTTTATTTTGTTTGCAGTTCTAAGAATTTTAGCACAGAAATTTTTACAATCACCACCTCAGTCAGACTACAGACCAGCTCCATCTCATCAGAAAACTTGTTTGTGGTATACCTGTGTAATCGTAGCCCCTCCACCTGCTGACCCTGGCAACCGCTGAGCTCGTCTCCTTCCCTGTAGTTCTGTGTTTTCCGGAAAGCCATGCATGGAATCACACAGTGTGGAACCCTTTGAGGCTGACTTCTTCCCTTAGTGTAACACCCACATTGCTGAGTATGTCAGTAGTTCATTCTCTTCATTTCTCAGTGGTTCTCCTTGGTATGGATGTGACACAGTTTACACAGGAGGACTTAGAATCGTGCCTACTACATGGTACTGCTCCGGAAAGGCTAACTCCCATAGTTACTGGCTTGGCTCGGCTCGGCTCTGTTAACTGTTTAATAAGTGCATAGGTATCGTGTAATATAAATGAGTGCTGATAGCCCTAAGAGGAATAGAGACAAACAGGAAGGGCTGTTTACCTGTGGTGGTTGTTGAGAAAGATCTTCCAGTTTGGGGAATGGAGACACCAACAAGGTGCAGGAGTCAGATGCTTGCTTTACCAGTGTCCACTAAGGTCAGTGTCTCTTATAGGACAATAGAAATGCTTCTGTTGGCACGATCTGTTAGCACAAACCCAGTTTGTGGCTGTGGTGCTTGCCATAAGCCAATTATCTGTGCTAAGGGTGGAGAAGTGAGTAGTTACTTTGCAGTTATTTCCTAGTGTACTGAAGAGCTGGCTGCCATCTTAAGTGATCTTATATTTGGCTAAGTAATAAAACATTTTTAAAAGCCTTTAGAAAAGGAAGAAACAAGCCATGTTGAAGAACTGCAGTCAGAAGAAACTGCTATTTCTGATTTTCTACTGGTGAAAATGTTGGACCGCTTGCCTTGCCAGTTGGGAGAGCCAGGTAAGTTTTCCTTAGCGTGGAGGTGGGGTGGAGGGTTCTCATGCACACTGGGGATAGCATCCAGCCTCTCTCCCTCCAGCTCCTTCCCCAGATGTGTCCACCCAGCTCTTCTGGAATGTCCCATCTGTGTCCCGGACACGGGTATCTCCCTTTTCTGCCCAGTCATTGTTGCTGTATCTTAGTTGTTTTCCCTGTTTCCAGTCTGGATCCTCTCTAGGCATTCTTCCTTCTGACTGTAGGGTTTTTCAAACGGGTAGACAGGAGATGGGAGCAGACATTCTAAGAGCACTGGATAGCTGTGCGCTCCCACTTTTATTTAGAGGGTACCAGCAAGTCTACAGTCAGCAGGCATGTAGGCAAGGTTATACATCAACTGAAGGATTTGGGAAAAGGAATTCGGTCTGGTAGTCTAAGATAGGGATTAGAACTGTGTTGTAAATCTTTGGAGACAGGTCCATTTAGATGCTTGTGCAAACTTACAAATTCCTGAAATACCCCAGGTACCAATTAAGTTCCATTAGCCCCCTGCTGCTCCCACTGGCACATTCCTTTGGGTGGGTGTGCCCATGCCCAGCCTGTTTTGGCTTGAGCAGAAACTGCGGCCATGCCTCTAATTTCCAGGGGGTGGGGGAGGGTGTTTGCCTCCCTGAGAGGCATTTATGCAGCATCTCTACACTGGCTACCAGAGGATCTTTATAAAATTAAAGGCTGATTATGTTGCTTCCCTGCTTAAAAATCCTGTAGTGGTTCTTCATTGCCTTTGTGATAAAACCCAGACTCCATATGAGTGACACATAGGAGCCTTCCCTTTTTGGCCCCAGTGGTCCTTCCCTAGGGTTGGGACTGTACTCAGTGGCTGCTGGAAATATGCAGGAGTAGTTTTCTCTTTTTTAAGATTTGGTTTAGATCTGACGCTGGCTTTTTGGGTAAAGCCGCTGCCTACAATGCCAGCATCCCATATGGGTGTTGGTGTGCCAGGATAGGATGCTCCACTTTTTTTTTTTTTTTTTTTGGAAAGGCAGAGTTAGGCAGAAAGAAAGGTCTTCCTTTCGTTGGTTCACCCCCAAATGGCCGCTACTGCCGGCGCACTGTGCTGATCCGAAGCCAGGAGCCAGGTGCTTCCTCCTGGTCTCCCATGTGGGTGCAGGGCCCAAGGACTTGGATCATCCTCCACTGCCTTCCCGAGCCACAGCAAAGAGCTGGACTGGAAAAGCAGCAACGGGGACGGAATCCAGCACCCCGACCAAGACTAGAACCCGGGGTGCTGACACCACAGGCGGAGGATTAGCCTAGTGAGCCGTGGCGCCGGCCTAGGATGCTCCACTTCTGATCCAGCTTCCTGCTGGTACACCTGGGAGGGTTCCCGGCTTTGGAAGCATAAAGTTATGGAGAGAGAGGGAGAGACCAAGAGATCTTCTATCCCACCGGTTCACTTCTAATGGCTGCAATGGCCAGGGCTAGGGCAGGCCAAAGCCAGAAGACAGGAGCTTCATCAGGGTCTCCCAGGTGGATGCAGGGACCTAAGCACTTGGGCCATTTTCCACTGCTTTCCCAAGTGCATTAGTAGGGAGCTGGATTGGAACAGGAGCAGCCAAGGCTTGAACCAGCACTCCTCATGTGGGATGCTAGTGTTGCAGTCAATGGCTTAACCTGCTGTGCCACAATGTCGGCCCCATTTCTGTTTTTGTTTTTTGTTTTTTTCCCCTTAGGATTTATTTGTTTGAAAGGTATAGTGACAGAGATCTTCATCCATTGGTTCACTCCTCAAATGCCCACAATGGCTAGCACTGGGCCAAGCTGAAGCTAGGAGCCTGAAACTCCATCTTGATCTCCCACATGGGTGGTAGGGGCCCAAGTACCTGCATTGTTGCCCACTGCCTTCTCACATTAGCAGAAGCGGGATTGGGAGCAGAGCGACTGGTACCCTGGCACTGTGATAAGTTGTGCAGGCATTGCAAGCAGTGCTTAACCTCTTGTCCCACAATCCCCAACCTGATGGGGGAGTATTTTCAGTTGGTGAAATGACTGAGGGGAGCCATTGGCATTTGGCGGCCTGTGCCTGACTGGCAAGTATCCTGTCCTGTAGTGCATGATCCCGCCCAGTGAGGAATGACTCTGCCTAGCACGCCAGTGGGGCGGCTCTTGGAACTCCCGATGCCTGTATCTGTCTCCCCACTGTGTGGCCATGTGTAGAACCCTCTGCCCTACGTCCAAAACCAAAGAGGCCTTGCCATCAGAGATACTGGAGTTGTATAACGCTGTATAATAGCATTGTAGAACAACAGCCACTGCGGTGTTCACAGAGTGACTTTGGTTTGTTTGCGCCATAGAAGCTCAGAAGTGCTTAGTTTTTTTAATGCAGCTGCATTAGCCATCTCCTTCGGAGCTCTTGCTTGTCCGTCGCGTTTGGCCTGTGTCCTTACTCCGCGTCTGTGCTGGCTCCTCCAGCCGGTGCTGGTTTGCACAGTCCCTGTGCTTGTTCCCCTGCTCGCCATTCCTTCCTGCTGTTCAGACCTTCCTTCTGGGATTATCGTACTTCCTTTTTGAAATAAAATCCCTTCGAAATTCCCTCCCTGAACATCTGTTGGTAATAAATTCAGTTTTCATCTCCTTGAAAAAACAAGCGTAAACTGCATTTTTCAGTAATTCTAATTTTGGTGCACAAGTTCTTTCAGACTTACAAGAAGTTACAAGAATAGTCCAGGGGCTGGCGCCGCGGCTCAAGCTAATCCTCCACCTGCGGCGCCGGCACACCGGGTTCTAGTCCCAGTTGGGGTGCCGGATTCTGTCCCGGTTGCTCCTCTTCCAGGCCAGCTCTCTGCTGTGGTCCAGGAGTACAGTGGAGGATGGCCAGGTCCTTGGGCCCTGCACCCGCATGGGAGACCAGGAGGAAGTACCCGGCTCCTGGCTTCAGATCAGCGCAGTGCACCATGCTGTCCACTCTGCCTGTCAAAAAAAGAATAGCCCAGGAACGCTGTGTACTGCGGCCCAGATTCACCAGTTGTCAACGTTTGCTGTGTGTGCATCTCATTCTCTCTTCCTGTTCACTCTTTGTGTGATTGTGTCTGTTTTTATATATGCAAAGTTATTTGTAGTTACATATGTGTGTACATTTATAGATACTTAAAACTATGGATATAGAAGATGTTACTTTAGAATGTTCATGAAAATATGCATTGTAAAAAACTGCATAGATTTCAAAAATTTTTGTACCAAAACAATCTTAAAAAATTTTTTTTAAATTTACTTCATTTATTTGAAAGAGTGAGAGAGACAGAGATCTCTCATCCACTGGTTCACTCTTCAAATGCCTGCAATAGCTAGAGCTGGGACAGGCCAAAACCAGGAGCTACAAAACTCAATCTAGGTTTCCTGTGTGGGTGGCAAGACACCCAGCCACTTGAACCATCACATAATGCCTCCAAGTTGTACATTAGCGGGAAGCTGGAATTGAGAGCCAAGCCAGGACGTGGACCTGTGCGTTCCGGTGTGGGATATGGGTATCCAGCTGGCATCCTAACTACTGGGCCAGATTTTTACTCTCACTTGGGTTTCTTTTTTATATATTTGAAAGGCTGAGAGAGAGAGAGAAACAGAGATCCTCCATCTGCTGATCCACTTCCCAGATGCCCACATTAGCTGGGGCTGGGCCAGGCCAAAACCAGAGCCAAGAACTTGATCTGGGTGTCCCACTAGTGGCAGGGACCCACGGGTCTGGCCCATCACTTACTGCCTTCCAGGCTGCTCATCACAGGAAGCTTGATTCTGAGCAGAGCCAGGAATCAGACCCAAGAACTGAGACATGGGATGTGGTGTCCCAGGTGGCTTCGGAACAGTTTGTACCAAATGCCGCCAGGCTTACCTTTTAGTTCCATTTCCCATGAACTATACCATCGTACACACACATACAATACAGGTGTTCCTGCATATGTACAATACATGTAACTATTATATGTGTATATGTATGCATATAGAAATATACATAAGTGTTTTTTAAATGAAGTCTTGACAGTGTATTAGAGACTTATATTCTTTTATCTCCAAATACTCACCATGTAGTTCATGAGAACAGGTGCATTCTCTTACATAACAGCAGAACAATGATAAAAATCTAGAAATGCAACATTGTTAGAATACTGTTACTAATTTGGAGCCCATATTGAAATTTCCTTAACTGTCCCGGTGCCTTTTTTTTTTTTTTTTTTTTTTTTTTTTTTTTTTTTTTTTTTTTTTTTTGACAGGCAGAGTGGACAGTGAGAGAGAGACAGAGAGAAAGGTCTTCCTTTGCCGTTGGTTCACCCTCCAATGGTCGCCGCGGCTGGCGCGCTGCGACCTGCGCACCGCGCTGATCTGATGGCAGGAGCCAGTGCTTCTCCTGGTTCTCCTGCAGCAGTGCAGGCCCAAGCACTTGGGCCATCCTCACACTGCACTCCCTGGCCACAGCAGAGAGCTGGCCTGGAAGAGGGGCAACCGGGACAGAATCGCGGCGCCCCGACCGGGACTAGAACCCGGTGTGCCGGCGCGCGGGCAATGCAGGATGAAGCCTAGTGAGCCGCGGCGCCGGCCCCCTGTGCCTCTTGATTGGCTCCTGCTTATCTCAGACTCTGCGTCTCTGATCCCCAGCACTTGCCATCCTGACTTCCCTGCTTGCAGTAGCTCAGTGCTTGCTCTCTCACTGTTTTCTTGTGTGCTTCTTGATTTTTCTGGTGACTCTTTTTGTTTCTCTCCTCTGGGTGATACATATTTCTTTGCTTTTTGCTACTTCTCACTTTCTGTGAAACCCTTTTTTTTTTAGAAGCAAATGACAGATCCAGCCTCACCTACAGTTTGATCTTCTCCCTTGCGTTTCCAAGGCATTAATTGGACTGTACACCATGGCTCACAACCCTAATATGACCCATTTGAAGATTGATCGGCCGGTTACTGCCCTTCCTCCTCTTTGGCAAGATGC